TTAGTAGAGACGGGGTTTCACCGTGTTAGTCAGGATGGTCTTGATCTCCTGACCTCGTGATCCACCCGTCTCGGCCTCCCAAAGTGCTGGGATTACAGGCTTGAGCCACCGCGCCCGGCCAAGAACCATACTTTCTAGAATTCTATTTGCAGAATATGAATTCCATTAATACAGGGATTTTGCCTTTTTGTAAGTTGCCCGTGTCCCCAGCACCTAAAATAATACCTGGCACATGGCAGGTGTTCAGTAAATTTGTTGAGTAACTGAATTTATTCAATAAACATTAACTAAACAGTAACTATGTACCAAGAGGCATTGAGCTAGATACTTAGGTAACATAGTCTCTGCGTTCCTCAAGGAGATGGGCCTTGTTCCTTGTGCACAGTGAAAATAAGAATACACTTTCCAAAAACTTAGCACAAACAGAAGCTAGACCTATGTATTTATATGCAAAGATTAGAATATTTTCTGTATAATGGGTAATGTTCCATTTACTTTTAAAAGTAGAAAACCGTACAGAAAGGAAAAACACAAAGGTCTATGTGGCATAGCTTCAGAACCAGGCAACCCAGACAACAAATTCCTGACTATCAACTTAGAACTTGCATGAAAAATGAAGATATTAAAAGTATAAGTTATCTTAGTCAAGAAGAAAAGGGACCTGGAAAGCTAGTTTAGCCATCAAGGTCCAATAAATTCCAACAAACACACTGGTTTCAATGAATTTTACAAACTTATTGAAGTGTATGAGATTTCTGCCATATTCATATTTAGTAATCACAGGTTGGCAGATACGTCCTAAATAGACCTGCCATCCTCTCATCAGTTTGACTGTGGAGTTATGGCCTTTAAGTTTTTCACAGAGGTAAAAGAACACAGGTATATTTCAAAACAGCTCAAAACAGTTGGTGAATTAGGTCAATGACAAAGAAAAGAAAAAGACAGAAGGGATTTACCAACAAAAAACAGACTTGGGTCCTCTCTTCTTTCTAGCCTAAACCCCTGCTGAAGCAGGGTTCTACCCCATCCAGTCTAGTTATTTCTTAGCTTCCCTTGTTTACTACTTCCTCTTCAAACTCCTCTTTTCTGCTTTATATACTATTGAATTAAACCTTTTTGCTGACCAGAAATTCCTGCTAAAGGACTAAATCCAACTATTTCAACTACCATACAATAGTTTACTTTAAATTCTGGATTGTCAAGACCAACTCAGATAACCAGAGTGAGTGAGAGAAAGGTACCTGGAAGCTAATAATATGGTATAATTGGGTAGTGTTTTATGTATACATAGATTTTGAACAATCAATAAATCAATCAATAAATAAAATTACATTTTGATTTTTCCTTGAATTTATTTGAACAAAGCAAATGCTTTAAATTGTTTCTTTTAAAATATAGAAACATACCTACTTGGCCAGTTGCCACTATGTTGATAAATTTGGGGTGCTGGTTTACTGTGAGGCACAGAATATCATCATTATGTTCCTGATAAAAACTCTGAGAACCTACAAAAAAGAATTTGAGAATTAAGTTTGAAAATTTTAAGATATAACAGCCAAAAGCCCTTACCCAGAACAATAGACTACTCTTTAACTTATTTGCTTATTCAAAACATATTTTGAGCACTTACTATATATACAGCATCATAAGGATAGAAAAATGATTCAGAAAATCATTTAATGGGATACAGCCGTAAAAGGGATAAACAATATAGTACAAGGCTGAAGATTCCAAGTACCACAAGAGAGTTGGGATCAAAATGCTATGGGAATTCAGAGCAGAAAAGATTAATCTCATCATGGGAATATGGTAATCCTGGACTGACCCAGACAGATTTTACAAATGTAAAAGTCAGCGGGGAAGGGCCTTGTAGGCAGAGGAACACTTTAAGCAGAGGCCTAAAGGCAGGAAAGTGTTATGTATCCATATAACAGGCTCATTTGGCTGAAGTGTAGGGTCATGAAGAAGAAAGATGAGTAACACGGTTGGAAAGGCAGTTTGGGACTAGAGTTAGGGAGGATTTTGAGTGTCAGCCCATGAATCTTCTGTTTTGGTTTCTTAGAGAAAAGGATTTGCCAGAGTCACACAGAAACCAGCAGTAATTTTCCATTGAATAATTTGGGCCATATTGAGTCATATTTTATATTTGTTCTGAAGTCAGTGGGGGAGGAACTGAAATTTTTTTTTTTTTTTTTCTTTTTTGAGACAGTCTCACTCTGTTGCCCAGGGTGGAGTGCAATGGCGTGATCTTGGCTCTCTGCAACCTCCACTTCTCCAGTTCAAGCAATTCTCATGCCTCAGCCTCTCACGTAGCTGGGATTACAGGTGTCTGCCATCGTGCCCAGCTATATATTTTTTTGTATTTTTAGTAGATATGGGGTTTCACTGTGTTGGCCAGGCTGGTCTCAAACTCCTGGCCTCAAGTGATCCGCCCATCTCAGCCTCCCAAAATGCTGGGATTACGGATATGAGCCACCGTGCCCAGCAGGAACCGAAGTTTTTTGATCAAATGAGTATAATGTGATTCATCTGGTAGTAGTGACAGTGAAGAGATCTTGTAAGACTATGACAGTAGTCTGCGCAGAAGGGAATAAAGATAGACGTGTGCAAATAAAATGAAGAGGTAGAAAATGAGTTCAGAGCAGTAGGTTGGATCCAGAGGATAGAGAACCATGAATAATACTAGGCGCACAAAAAAGCAAAACAAAAATCAAAGTGGGGCACTTCAACAACCCACTGATAGTGTTAGACAGATCATCAAGGTAGAAAACTAACAAAGAAATTCTGGACTTGAATTAAATACCTGACCAACTGGACATAAAAGACAGAACACTCTGCCCATCAACCATAGAATATACATTCTTCTCATCTGCACATAAAACATACTCTAAGATTGACCACATGTTCAGCCATAAAGCAAGTCTCAATACATTTAAGAAAACTGAAATATCTGTCATACTCTCCTAACCACAGTGGAAAATAGAAATCAATACCAAGAAGATCTCCCAAAACCACAATTACATAAAAATTAAACAACTTGCTCCTGAATGACTTTTGGGTAAACAATGAAATCAAGGTAAAAATTTTTTTTAAAATCTTCAACGTAAATTAAAACAGAGACACAACATGCCAAAATCTTTGGTATGCAGCAAAAGCATGTTAAGTGTTAAGAGGAAAGCTTACAGTGCTAAATGTCTATCTCAAAACGTTAGAAAGATCTCAAATTAACAATCTAACATCACACCTGGAGGAAACAGAAATATAAGAACAAAGTAACCCCAAAGCTAGCAGAAGAAAATAAATAACGAAATCAGAGCAGAAATGAACAATACTGAGACCCAAACATCCATACAAAGAATCAACAAAATAAAAAAATCGGTTTTTTGAAAATATAAACAAGATCAATAGACCATTAGTTAGATTAACAAAACAAAGAAGATCCCAATAAACACAATCAAAAATGACAAAGATCACATTACAATCAATCCCACAAAAACACAAAAGGCCCTCAGAGATGATTATGAACACCTATAAATACACAATCTAGATCTAGAGGTTATGATATTAGTTGTGGGCTTCTAAAAAAAAAAGAATTAGAAAAATCTAGAGGAGATGGATAAATTCCTAAAAACACAAAACCTCCCAAGATTGAATCAGGAAGAAATTGAAAACCTACACAGACCAATAGTGAGTTCCAAAATTGAACGAGTAATAAAAAACCTATCAACCTATCAAAAAGCCCTGGACCAGGCCGGGTGTGGTGGCTCACACCTGTAATCCCAGCACTTTGGGAGGCCGAGGCGGGTGGATCACGAGGTCAGGAAATCGAGACCATCCTGGCTAACACGGTGAAACCCCATCTCTACTAAAAACTACAAATACAAAAAATTAGCCAGGTGTAGTGGCGGGCACCTGCAGTCCCAGCTACTCGGGAGGCTGAGGCAGGAGAATGGTGTGAACCTGGGAGGCGGGGCTTGCAGTGAGCCGAGATTGTGCCACTGCACTCCAGCCTGGGTGACACAGCAAGACTCCATCTCAAAAAAAAAAAAAAAAAAAAAGCCCTGGACCAGATGGATTCAGAGCTGAATTCTCCCAGGCGTACAAAGAAAAGCTGGTGCCAATTCTACTGAAACTATTCCAAAAAATAGAGGAGTAGGCACTCCTCTCTAACTCATTCTGTGAAGCCAGTATCACCCTCATACCAAAACCTGCCAAAGACACAATGAAAAAAGAAAACTATAGGCCAATATGCTTGTAGAAAACTACAGACCATCATCCCTATGATGAACATAGATGCGAAAAGTCTCAACAAAATACTAGCAAACAAAATCCAGCAGGACATCAAAAAATTAATTCACCATGATCAAGCAGGCTTCATCATTCCTAGCATGCAAGGTTGGTTCAACATATGCAAATTAACGAATGTGATTTACCATATAAACAGAATTAAAAACAAAAACCATATGATTATCTCAAGAGATATGGAAAATGCTTTCCAAAAAATCCAGCATCTCTTTCATGTTAAAAACCTTCAACAAACTAGGAACTGAAGAAACACACCTCAAAATAAAGAATCATTTATGGCAAATCCACTTCCTAGACTATGAACAATGTATCCTCAAACTGGTGAGAAACCAAATATAGTAAAAACTAAAGCAGGTGGCCTAGTCTCCATCTGCCCTCTCTCTAGACACCCCACCACTAGAAAGGTGATTAATTACAAATCAGAAAAGTAAAAATAAAATTATAAGTATAAACATGAGAGTTTACATATACAGTCCTTTCTTGTTTGTCTTATCTTACTCTTCCTCATTCTCTCTGAAGGACAGATACGTGATACCTCGATTAAGGATTTTTCTCTCTAACCAGTATGTTTTAAATGGCCTAAATTATTAAATAGAAAATTGCCACTGATTTCTGTGTGATCTTGGTGAATCCTTTTCTTTATGAAACCAAAATAGAAAGATCATATTAATGGTTAATACCAACAAGGGGTGGTGGATTATAATTTACATCATCGATCTACTCTTTACCCATTCAGAATGAAGCTATCAGAGGAAAACAAGAATGAACTAGATAACCTTTATTTTTACTTCTAACTTTCAGACTTTTATGAAGTTTGCCATTAAATTGTAATAAAACAATTCAAAATTAAATACTTAATGTCACTATGATGCTAAGAGAACGTTATTTGCTCTTGAATAATCCAACTGAATAATCCAATCAGTTAAATGAACATCAAGAAATAATTTTCTCACCTTCTTGGGTCAAACAAGGTATCATCATAGAGCCACAGATAAACAGCTTTCTTAAGTCTTTCTTCCTTGGCTTTCCAAGGCCTCAGTAAGAACACTCCCAGCCCCAGCAATCACTCACCCAACATGCTACATTCAATCACTATCAGAAACAACCATCCAAACCATTTATTCTCATGAGGTTATGGGGAAACAGAATTAAAGTTACCAATGGTTTCAGTATAAAACATGGTTTTAACATACAGTAAAACCTTTACTTCTAATAGACTTATGAGCATTTGCATTATGAATTCCTTTTCTGCTGTATTATACTCTATTAAAACTGAAATTTGTTTACTTGAAATATTACTAGAAAGTTCTGAAATACGAAATATTTTTATTCTGGAGGATTTCTCCTACATTTAAATTACTATTTATAGCTTTAACAAAGATTTTAAGCAGCTAGATCAAAATTTCTAAGTTAAAAAAAGTGAAAGAGGGATGGAGAATCAGGGTTTCCTACCTGTAGCAACATTGTGCAGAATTCCAATGGATGCAGTGTGATAAATTATATCATCACCATCATTTAAATAGTGAACATTATTCCTACAGTCTCTGCCTCGATAACCAAAAACGAGCTCCAACACAAGGTCCTATAATGATAATAATAAAACCATTATATTCTTCCTCATGTCCAAATGTTCACCATTATTTTGTTGCATACATAATACTAGTGTCTGCAGTTAAAATGGAGTATGCATTTTTGATGTTTTACAAATTTCATATACAAAATTAAGCTAGTCGTACTTCTTTATATAACCTGTTTTGGGCAGCTTAAACATACATTCTATACTTTTCTATATAAAGTTATGAAAAAGGAAAATGGAATCACAAGGTAGTCTGATCCCAAGAACTTTAGTTCTTAAGATTTCACATGTTAAACACTGAGGTACAGTTGGCCTTACACATTCAAGAATTCAACCAATTCCAGACAGAAAATATTGGGGAAAAAACAATAAAAAATAACATTTAAAACACAATATAGTATAACAAATATTTATACAGCATTTACATTGTATTAGGTATTATAAGCAATCTACAGATGGTTTAAAGTATGCAGGAGGATGTGCAGAGGTTATATGCAAATTACTATGCCTTTTTATATAAGGCATTTGAGCACCTGTGGATTTTGGCATCCCCAAGGGGAAGCTATCCCCCAGGGACATAGAGGGACTGTACTTTTTGTGTCCAAAAGAAGACAATTTTATGTTCATTGTTAATCAAAATATCTGACCTACATACACGAGTCAGGATAAATTATGTACAAGTCACATCCTTTGAAGAATCCAAACAGTACCCTCATCATCGGTGGACAAAAACTAAGTATACTGTCTCGGACAATTCATGCTAAAGGTCTGGCAGATAATTCTGCAACTGAAAATGTACATTTCATTGACTTTGTAGGACTGGGTTGGGGAGGGAGCTACAGCAACCACCATCACATAGCTTTACACTTTGTTTATGTTTGATTTAGCAGAGTTTGGTTGTTTGCTGCTGATACTGGGATTATGAAATGCGTGGAGAGCCTTCCTTCTTCCTCAATTATTATGGAAGATTACTTTGGTTGGAAGCAGAGACAGAAGGAGAAATAGCCTTCATGAACCCTGTAGAGTGAATATATGGCACAGGGTCAAAATTCCTATTTGGTATAAGTATTTAACTCTTTAATTTACAAATTCAAGCCACTAAGTTTTAGGTACTGTCAAGGTGTCTGTGCTTCTATAAGCAAAAGATCATTCACATATATTGAGGTTTAGGAGTTCTCTGAGATACAGTTCAATTACGGTATTATTCACAGCAAAGCAAAAGGAAGACTAATTTAAAAAATTAAGATAACCAGAGAATATCAATCCAAAACTCAGACTTACATAAGAATTAAATCAAACAAAAAAGAGCACTTAATACACTTACTTTCACGAAAACTAATGATAAGACTTGGGTGTTTTATAAAAAGGAACTCTGGATACATTTCAGTAACACTGGAGAGTGAATTTTCCTTACCTCTATAGGTCTCTTTTTCTTGCCTACATTGTTTGTCTGGAGTTTCTCTGGCTGTGGTGGGGCCCTGCTCACCGGAGGCCTGCAACAGAGAAGTGGGAAGGTGGAAAGGCATGCAGCACTCAGTGCCTTCACTGAGCCTCTCACACCATCCCTCCCAGAGAGGTGCTTGTCACACCTTCCCAAAGATGACCCATTCTGTGGTCCTCTAGACTGCCCTCTTCATCTTGAGAGCTTCTAAAGCAGGAAGTAGAAAGAAAATATTACAACTTTTATTCATTTTATATATATTTTTTGCGATGGAGTCTCACTCTGTCGCCCATGCTGGAGTGTAGTGCGCAATCTTGGCTCATTGCAACCTCTACTTCCTGGATTCAAGCGATTCTCCTGCCTCAGCCTCCCGAGTAGCTGGGATTACAGGTGTATGCCACCACACCCAGCTAATTTGTGTATTTTTTTTTAGTAGAGATGGGGTTTCACCATGTTGGCCAGGCTGGTCTCGAATCCCTGACCTCGGGTGATCGGCCCACCTCGGCCTCCCAAAGTTCTGGGATTACAGGATCAGGAGTGAGCCACCACACCCAGCCTCTTCTCTTCTTTTTTTTTTAGACCAAGTTTCACTTTGTCACTCAGGCTGGAGTGCAGCGGCACGATCTCACCTCACTGCACCCTCCGCCTCCCGGGTTCAAGCAATTTTTGTGCCTCAGCCTCCCCAGTAACTGAAACAACAGGCGTGCACCACCACAACCCAGCTAATTTTTGTATTTTTAGTAGAGATGGGGTTTCACCATGTTGGCCACGCTGGTCTTGACTTCCTGGCCTCAAGTGATCCGCCTGCCTCAGCCTCCCAAAGTGCTGGGATTACAGGTGTAAGCCACTGTGCACAGCCTTACTTTTAATTTCTTTGGTGTACGTATCATAATGTAAATAACATAATAGCACAAAAGTAGATTGCTTATAAACAATGTGAAAATGTTAATTTAACATACTCAAATATTTCTTGATGGGTGCATTAACAACAAAGCCTGGATTACTGCTCTAAAGTATCTAACAGAGTATCTTCACATGGCAAGTATTCAATACATCCTTCTTGAAAGTGAATTTTTGTATATATTTTTATGAACGTTCCACACTGTTAGCAACATAAATCACATGTGAGTTTAAATTTGTACTCATCTGTTTCTTCATGCCCTTCACCTTCTCTACTTGCTGAAGTAGTCCCTAGTACTGGTTAATGGCATTGCCATCAGTTGGTTACTCAAGGAAGACATTTCATAGTCACAAAGCACTGTAAACCATACAACACATTATAAAAGGAAATTACTATTATTATTGCTTCCAACTCTTTCTCTTCCCTTATTCTCACTATTTACTAAAATTTATCAACTTTACCTACACACTAGCTCTCAAATCTAGCCCCTCTTCTCTGTTCAGGATCTATTTATAATGTGCCCTGTCCCAACAGGTGTATTGAGTTCACAGTCTGAATTATTTAAATGTAGAAGCTCTTCTCTAGAACCTCTAATTTTTTTAAAAATGCAATTTAGTTTATTATTTTTTATCTCAACCATTATTCAAATACTGAATAACAAGAACACTGAATTTAAATCTATCATGCACCAATCCCTTTCCAAATTTTAAGTTAATATTCAATTTGTAACACCTAAATCAGGAAATGATACAAATTAACTTTCCCATGTAAAAGACTCCAACATTTATGAACAAGTCTCATAAAATTAAAGGCATAAAATATACTTGCATTTTCAAAATGGTTGTCATGTTATACATCAATAAAAGTAAATGTGTTACATCTTAAACATCCAATAAGAAATGAATGGGATGTTGATAGCAATATGAGGCAGCATGTAAAATATATAAGCATGACTGGTGTTATAAAAAGTAAACATCCTTTTCAAGAATAAACAGTTTTTTCAAGTTATTATAGAAATTTTGGTTTCAAACCTTCTTCATATACATTTTTGGATGTCCACAAGTAAAAGTAAAACTGAATTTATCATATTTAACATTTAAAAATATTTCTGATAGGACCATTTCAAAGAATGATAGAAGCCTTGCTTTTTTCCCCAAGTCAATTTTGTTGGTGAACATTATTCTATGTTACTGTCTGACAGCTTTAAACGTAACCCAGACAATAAACAAGTAATTTTTATCTATATCCTATGTAACAATTAACCATATTTTAATTTTTATAAAGATCATTTATATAAAGTATATCATTGCTTAAAATAAAATTATACAACTTATAAAATGATACAAGTTGAATGGATAAGTTTTAGTAGAACAGTTACTTATACAGAGTAAGTCCAATAATTAAGATGCTATTCATTTCAGTGGTACCAATTCCAAAGGAAAAAAATGTGCAAAATTGTGGAGAGGTAAAGAACACCAAGTAACATAGTATCCCATTAATGCTAATATGAGAGATGACAAAAATACAAAGTTAGGCTTTGTAAACACAGCAAAGAGAGGATTACCTGGAACCTCTTTTCAGCAGCAGATAAAGAAGGAAAAAGATTACAACATAAATTTGAATTGAAAACACTAGTAAAATACCTCCTGTAATAAAATATTTTAACAAGTTTAATGCAGACAACTGTATTGCATAATATTAAAAGTCTGTTGTTTTCAGTTTATAATCCCAGCATTTTGGGAGGCCGAGGCAGGAGGATCATGAGGTCAGGAGTTCGAGACCAGCCTGGCCAACGTGGTGAAATCCCATCTCTACTAAAAATACAAAAAACATTAGCCAGGCACGGTGGCAGGTGCCTGTAATCCCATCTTCTCAGGAGGCTAAGGCAGGAGAATTGCTTGAACCCAGGAAACAGAGGTTGCAGCGAGCTAAGACTGCGCCACTGCACTGCAGCCTGGGCAATAGAGTGCAACTCCGCCTAAAAAAAAAAAAACCAGAATAAAAGAAAAAAAGAGAAAAGAAAAGGTGTAAGACTGGACACAGTGGCTCACACCTGTAATCCTAGCACTTTGAGAGGCCGAAGCAAGAGGATTGCTTGAGCCCAGGAGTTTGAGACCAGCCTGGGCAACACTGTGAGACCCCATTCTCTATAAAAAACACAATTAGCCAGGTCTAGTGGCATGCACCTATAGTCCCAGCTACATGGGAGGCTGATGCGGGAGAATCACCTGACCTGGAAGGTAAAGGCTGCAGTGAGCTGTGATCACGTCATTGCACTCAGCCTAGGCAACAGAGTGAGACTCTGTCTCAAAAAAAAAAAAAAAAAAAAAAAAACTCCATTAATAACAGGGAATCACAAGAAAGGTGAAAAAAGAAAAAAACAAATAACTGAGAATTCAATATATTTTATGTTGTGAACTTTAAAGCTTGCCATTCTTATTTTTCTGCAATGTAATCTGAATTTTAAACAAAACATTTAAGCTTATTTTTAAGAATGGGCACTGGCACTAAAATGTTAATTTAAAAAGCTGGTAGCACTGGAGATACTTCAAAGGAAATTGTCTAAAGAGCCTAAGTTTCACCTGTTCTGACCTAAGAGCGTTCCCCAGTCAGTGAATCCAAGCAGGCAGAATTAGTCACTCGGGACTATACTGAATTTAGAATTTTGCTAGTAAAAGAAGTAATCTTTAAAAGGTTTTTTTCTCTCTCTCTTAATAGCATAACAATCAAAACAAAATTGGAAGGAATCACAAAAGTCATTTCATCCATTCTCCCACTGAGACCAGGAACCTTCTTTACATGTCTAGAACAACCATTGTATAGCATTGATGACAACTGGTCATCCAAACTCTGTATAAATACTGCTTGTGACAGGGAGGTTACTTCTACATGAAAAGTCATTCATATCCAAGATAACAATGATATCTCCATTTAGTTTTCTTGTTTTGAAACAAGATTCCCAGAATAATAATAATGACTTTTTTGAGACAGGGTCTTGCTCTGTCACCCAGGCTAGAGTGCAGTGGTGTGATCATGGCTTTGTTAAGCTTTGACCTCCCACGCTCAAGAGATCATCCTGCCGCAGCATCCCACGTAGCTGGGATCACAGGTGCACACCACCATATCCAGCTAATTTTTTTAAGTTTTTTTGTAGAGATGGTGTCTCATCAGGTTGGCCAGGCTGATCTTTAACTCCTGGCCTCAACCGATCCTCCAAACTTAACAACCCAAAGTGCTGGGATTGCAGGTATAAACCACTGCACCTGGTCAACTAACTTTTCTTTATATGAAGTGGCCTCCCAACCTTCCTTCCTCCTGTGCTTTCTTCTAGCCCATTATAAACTATCCAAGTCTCCTTTAAAATGCAGAGATCAGTACTGAGCAAGCTATTCTACATGTGAGGCTAGATCCGGGTGCTTTATTTCTGTTAAAATAGTATAAGATTTTATGGCCCATTTTAGAGGTTGCTTCATACTCTGAACTCATATCTTTGTACACACCACTCTGCTTAAAACAGACGACAGATTCCTGCTATAGATCTAATATTAACAGGTGCCTATTATTGGAGTTTCTGCACAATCTGGTCTCAAGTTTACAGTTTTCTTCCTTATCTCCCAGCATTTTCCTAGTGATACCTTACCTCCAACCCCCAGCCCCCAAAACAGGGTCTTGCTGTGTTGCCCAAGCTGGAGTGCAGTGGTGCAATCACAGCTCACTGCAGCCTCAAACTCCCAGGCTCAAGAGACCCTCTCACCTCAGCCTCTTGAGTAGCTGGGACCACAGGGCTGCCACCACACCCAGCTAATGCATTTTTACTTTTATTTTTTGTGGAAACAGGGTCTCATTATGTTGTCCAGGCTGGTCTTGAACTCCCAGGCTCTAGCAATCCTCCCACTTCGGCCTTGCAAACTGCTGAGATTACAGGCCTGAGTCATCATGCCCAGCCATAATACCTTTTTTAATTTATAAAACAGACTAGCCATTTCCACACTGTCTTGTTTCAGAAACTCTTTCAAGACATTTCCATATCACCAAAGGTAGATATAAAAGTACCCCCAAAGAGTCTTTTCCTACATGTCATTTTATTAAACATACAAATACCATAGTTACCCTTTCATCTTTTAAAATTAATGAATAGATTAAACATGCATTAAATCGTGTTAACAGGTTTAAAACTGAATAGTCTTTCACTTAAATATACGTGTGGTTAGGTCTGTTTTTACGAGCCTCTGAAACTTAAGGAAAACCAAAACTATTTATTTGCATTGTAGTAGTTTGTACAGTCATATGTAAAACAATTTATCATAATGAAGACCCTTATAATAACAACCATATATACTATCTAAAAATGCAACTCTTTCATAGAATTTGTCCTACTTCATTTCATAATGCTTTATTGACAAATGTAGTGAAATGTTTTATAGGGAAAATAAATACCTTAAAATACTATAAAGAATAAAATAAAGGGTAAATTTTTGAATAAAATATTTTCTTTTATAAAACACTTACCTTACTACTCCCTGCCTTCAAAAGGAGCAAGGGGGAAAAAAGTAGGAAAACATATAAAATTTGATGATGAATAGAATAGAGCATTTTAGCAAACAGAAGAAAGGCAACATGTCGACAGAATTTTAAGGAAATGCAAAAATGTCTAACTTATGTCACATTGATTTAAACATTGATTTAAATATTTTTATTCACAAATATTGGAAATTTGACAAAAATAACTACTTTAAATACATAATATTTGTTATAAAAACATTTATTAGCCAGGCAAGATGGCTCATGCCTGTAATGCCAGCACTTTGGAAGACTGAGGTGGGTGAATCACTTGAGGTCAGGAGTTCAAGACCAGCCTAGCCAACATGGTGAAACACCGTCTCTACTAAAAATAAGAAAAATTAGCTGGGTGTGTGGTGCGTGCCAGTAATCCCACTTACTCAGGAGGCTGAGGCAGGAGAATCGTTTGAACCCAGGAGGTGGAGGTTGTAGTGAGCCAAGATCGTGCCACTGTACTCCAGCCTGGGCGACACAGCAAGACTATGTCTCAAAAGAACAAAACAAAACAAAAAACAAAAACAAAAACAAAAACGTTTATTAAAAAATATTAAATTATCACTTAGGAAAAAAATCCACAGAAGTATCAACCAAAGGGCCGGGCACGGTGGCTCAAGCCTGTAATCCCAGCACTTTGGGAGGCCGAGGCGGGCGGATCATGAGGTCAGGAGATCGAGACCATCCTGGCTAACACGGTGAAACCCCGTCTCTACTAAAAAATACAAAAAACTAG